TTTTTTTTTTTTTTTTTTTTTTTTTTTTTTTTTTTGGTATAAGGTATGTTGATTTGTTGATTTCTCTCTGATCACGTCAGCAGACATCAGGTTGCCCTTAGAGGAACAGCACACTCATGTTAAAACTGACTTTCCAAAAACAACTTACTCCTGCAAGCAGGGGCTGGGATTCAAAGTCTCCAGTTCAAGCTGAAAGAAGSAGTTTTCTGGACTTGAAACAGTTCTGGTGATGATGCTATTGTCTACAGACACCGACACTCCCCCTAGGATAAACCATGACACTGATCCCTGATAAGAGGAGAATCTAAGAAAACCAGGAGCTCTTTTCCTCTCCCTATAATACTATGTGCTTCCTGCCACTTCTCTGCTTAGCTTTGAARAGAACTTCAACGGCTGAGACTAAAATGATGACCTGATGCTGGAGGAAGGGTGGATTTGTCTACCAAGGTAGATTCATCACAGACCAGTTCTCTGATTGACATTTTGCTTCTCTGCCCAGAGCTRATGTCCTTAGACAAGAGCAGGCGCCAGCAAACAGAGCTGTTCTGCACCAGCTCCATGCATTAATTCCACTGCTGTTAACAGGACCAGGAGACGGGATTGTGAGAGTTCTGGGTAAAAAATAGTTTGTGGTGTTTGCATGAGGAATACGCCTCTTCATGTCAGGTTTGGAGATTGTGACCTCAGGGAACTGGAATGTGCTGTCAGTTCAATGAGTTGACATTCTAGAGGTACTCAAAACTTCCTGGTGTCAGGAAACCTGATAGAAAGGAAAAAGTCATCCCAAGGGAAGAAATATTTTTTTCTGGCATCTTAAGGAGTTGCTGTAAGGTCAGCTCARCCCATCCCTTCTAAGAGCACTTTACAAAGCCCAACAGGGGAGGCCTTGCTCGAGTCTCTCCCTCCATCTCCGCGTGCACGCATCGGTTCCCTGGACGAATACACCTTGGCAAGCGGTGTAATCCTGAGCATCTCCAAGTGCTCTCATGGCACACAGGCCAAACAACTATAGGGTTTAAGTCTCAGCTCTCTAGATTCACCCCCTAGATACAGACTGGTCTCAGTATCGGGCGCTTTCTGACAAGTCTTCCCTTGATTCAAAAGAAGGATAAGAGCAAGGTCCAAATCCACTTCACTTCAAGGGGCCAACTGGGATGCACTTTGTGCTTTTTTGTACATATCCTTTGTAAATGAACGCAGCAATGAATATTAAAAAAATCAGCCATTCATTTTGATATGATGCTCTGCAATGAAAATAATGACACTAAGCATGAGCCAGCAACTCCGGAATACTCCTAATTCAGCCATTTGTAATACTTACTACTCTATGCAGTTTTTGTTTTTCATTTGGCTGCAGTGAATACAGGTTAATTGGCTAGTCAGCAGTCGCATCTGCCAAGTCAATATTTCGATTTCTGTATGAATTACTGAACTGCATCTTTCAATTTTACTCTGAGACCTGAAAGGTACAATAAAAGCTGGGGAGTTAAATTGCCTTTAAAAAGCTTAGGCTATCGCACTGGTCAAAAGACAAGCAAGAGGGAAAAATATGTCTTTAAAGAGGATTATGTAATTCCTATTTACAGAAGACAAACCGCTCCCCCTATAAACATCGTAGCTGCTGGAATATGTAGGTCACGGAGACCCAAGGTTAGGAGGATACCTGCAGTTTAAAGTGGGCAAGCTGTTTTGCATGGAGACCCACCRAACATTTTAACATGAGTCCATGATAGTGCTACACAAGAGTCAAAGAATTAATTTGGGATTAACTAGTTGAACCATAAGGAGAAGAAACAGGAAGTATGAATTCAAGAAACATGCAGACATTTTTCTTAGTTTGATTGTTTAAAAGAACGAAACAAAAAAGGCTAAGGAGGGATCTTTACAAGTCAAAAGCTCTGGAYTGCAGTGGGTGAAGGAAAAACGTCAAACAACAAACATTAACTTTCCATGGATTTTTACAATGAAACTATACACACCAATGACCTTCTGCTAAGGACTCCTACAAAGCTGTTCGCAGCAGCTCAATCTCTAGGTCATAAGAGGAAAGCAAGGATGTGATGAGGAAAGCAGGGAGACACTTACCTGTAGGGATAAACGTAGGCTGTTGCAACTGCATGTTGGCTAGAGCCTGTTGGTAGTGGAAAACGCTTGGGTTAAAGACTGTGGTGGCACCATTGTTTTTTTCAAGTGCTGGCCTCTTTGGTAAAGGTTGAAGTGCACCAGGCGGCAGGGCCTGTGGATGAGGGAATCATTAAAGACAAGTGCAATAAAAAGCAGCCAACCAAACAAGTGTAGATAAAGCATGCAATAAATAACAAGGGGGGGGAGGGTCTTGGCTGTGAATCACCTGCAAGTGGGTCAGCTTAGCGAGACGGGGAAACAGGAGAGCAGCTAAAACACAGGTAAAGTGGTAGGTGAAAACACAACTTCACTAGGTAGGCGGTTAGTAAATGCATCAGGAGAAGGGGGCAGAGGCCAGAACGAGGAGAAAAACTAAGGGAGCTTTTTGGCAGGATTGACTTAGGCACAGAGGAAAAGGAGGAGGAGGATGGGAAGAAGTAATCTCCTGGGCAGGATACCACAAAAAGCAGTTGCAGGCAACAAGCATTAAGAAATAATAATAATAAAAAGAAAACAGCTAAAAGAAATAGAGTAGAAAACTACTTTAAAGCCAAGAGACTAGCATAAGCAACAAATGCCATGGAAAAAAATACGGGGTGTTTGCCTCTGCCTATTGCACAAGCTGCCCACGTGCTTGTGTGTGGAAGTGGGCACATTGGTATGCAGGTGACCTGGGCATTGGGTGCTAACGGGGTGGCTGCTGCCAATGACACGCAGAACGTCACATCYGTAGTGAAATGCATCTCTCCTCGCTGTCAGAGAGGCTGAGGGACATGGGCAAGAAYAGGCCAGATCCTGCCCTGCTTGCAACAGCTGCACAGCTCAAGAGCAGCAGATTTGGACTTGCTCCCGGTTGCTAGCACTACCAGGAGGCCTCCAAGAGCAAAATCCTGCTTGCTCATTAACACCAGTGGAAAAAGCCATCGATGGATCTGCTGTTCGAGCGAGGTTTGGGTGGGCCTCGCTAGCCAGCAAATCCTCTCGYTCGGCTCCATCACACCACGGCGCTTCCTCCAGCCAGTCAAACCCGTTTCAAGATCAGACTTGGTAAAAGGCATCAACCCAACTCAGGAACTTTTCTCAGCGAGTTACTCATCATTCATGAAGCATGTCTCAACAACAAAGTAGTATGTCAGGTTCTTAAGAGACAGGAATGTTTCTAATGATTTACAGCTTTTCATTGTACCAAAGCAGAAACCTTTTTTTTTTTCTCTTCGCATTGTGATAGAAAAGGGTCCTTGCTAATTATGCCCTGCAGTCCTGTTGCGTCTAACACTCCYATTGACGTCAAAGGGATCTATGCACGTGGAAATCATGCAGAATCAGATCCCTTCTGCCTAGCTGGGCTCTATAGCATGGAGCAAAGCAATAGCTGGAAAGTGGGCTTATCCTGTTTTTCCAAATGAATGAGTKACAGCAAAGGGTGGGTAATGAAGGAAGCTTGGCTAATGAAGGGTTAAGACCACAAACACACAAAAATTTTAAGAAAGGATACGCAGAAAGAGATTTTAAAGCGTCATGAAGGGAAACACACAACAGAATACAACCGAAAGCTTACAACAGTTGTCACGATCTAGAAACAGGTTACACTTAAAATTTAATCTGCTACAGGAGACTGCTCATCTGAGAAATGTTAAGGAAGATACTTCCAAGCAAAACACTGTTCCGTGCTATCTCTGTTCACACAGTGGTTTTAGGGTATTTTAAATATTAAGAAAAAAGGACAATTAGAAGAAATTGCTTTTGCAAACTTTCCTCAGACATGCACACATCCTCTGCTGATGCCAGCAGACATTCAGCACGAGAATTAGGCCTTTACAGTATCTTTCTAGACTTCTGGCTGGTATCAGAGGCAGCAGTGAAATTTGTCGGCCAGCTTTCTCAGAAACAGACACCAGAAGCTTTCACTCAAAATCCATATTTTAGGATGAGCTCTTTTAGGGAGCGCACTATGAGTTTCTATTTCTTGGGAGGCCTCACTGATGCCTATGTTTAATGTGACAGTAGCTGTACCTTGCTTACTAATGGTGGCCCCATGACTCTTCTTGCAGGCACAGAACAGACTCTAAGCTTGCACACACCAGGGCAGCTCCCATTACTTCAGAGATGTTTTACAGGTTTGCAGCAGCTGAAGATCATCCTGCTTAAATCCATTCTTACTATGCCCGATTGCAAAATACCTTTTCACTTTCAAAATCTGCCTCAGAAAAAAAAAATACTAATTACAGTAAAGGAACTCGCCAGCCACGTAATGGACTTTTGACTCTTTGCCGGTTGGGCACTGTCCCCACTCCACAAAGCCCTTTAACCCATAGCTGCAGTGCCAAAGCTGGAGGCCTAGAGACTGTGACGTGCTGCTTCTTCACACGCAGGGCCATTTCTGAGGCCAGCGCTGTGCTCAGAGGGAGCACACTAACACCAAGGGGCCTGAGGGCTGGCAAGGCACGAGGATCTACCCCACCATCTATCTAACATGACCCGCTCCAGCCCCTGCGGAGTGAAACAGGAGCTACCACAGTCCCACTACTGTCTCCTGAGAAGCACCCCTGGGAAATGGTTGAATGGAATCTCATGTCGAGAAGCCCAAAGAAGC